ATCTTTGACACTTGGATGATTAGTTACATATCTAATGTATTCAGGGTTCACTGGGTTAGCTGATGGTGAAAACTGAGCTAGTTATATATTGCTATTTGTCAAGTAGTTGAAAGAGAAAACTGAGCATTTTTCAAACAGCAATTCGTTAACTTTTATTTATAAAATATATAATTATATAATTTTGTGGAAATAAACCATGTAAATCCACTCCAGTACTTAGGCCATGGCAAAAAAATTCTGAAGGGAGAGTTTTAAACAACTAGCTATGTGAAGATTTGATTAGCTGTGATGGGTTGACTATTGACAACAGCAGTAGAATTATCTTGGCTTGTGGTCTATTTGTGCTTAATGTGGCTCCATCTACACTAGAACAGGTTAGGCCAGGGCTCAGCAACCTGCAGCTCTTTTGGTGTCAATATGCGGCTCTTCAGTTCCGTAACTATTATTTTATTTTTAAAAACTCAAACATTTTACTATAAAAGCAAAAACAACAAAATAAAAAACAATGAGAATAGGTGGAGTAGAGTGTATATGGACTGCTGACGGCAGCTGCCAGCCCCACCACTGTGCTGAGGCCAGTCCCACCACCCCACCACTGTGCTGAGGCCAGTCCCACCACCCCACCACTGTGCTGAGGCCAGTCCCACCACCCCACCACTGTGCTGAGGCCAGTCCCACCACCCCACCACTGTGCTGAGGCCAGTCCCACCACCCCACCACTGTGCTGAGGCCAGTCCCACCACCCCACCACTGTGCTGAGGCCAGCCCCACCACTGTGCTGAGGCCAGTCCCACCACCCCACCACTGTGCTGAGGCCAGTCCCACCACCCCACCACTGTGCTGAGGCCAGTCCCACCACCCCACCACTGTGCTGAGGCCAGTCCCACCACTGTGCTGAGGCCAGTCCCACCACTGTGCTGAGGCCAGTCCCACCACCCCACCACTGTGCTGAGGCCAGCCCCACCACTGTGCTGAGGCCAGTCCCACCACCCCACCACTGTGCTGAGGCCAGTCCCACCATCCCACCACTGTGCTGAGGCCAGTCCCACCACTGTGCTGAGGCCAGTCCCACCACTGTGCTGAGGCCAGTCCCACCACTGTGCTGAGGCCAGTCCCACCACCCCACCACTGTGCTGAGGCCAGTCCCACCACTGTGCTGAGGCCAGTCCCACCACCCCACCACTGTGCTGAGGCCAGTCCCACCACTGTGCTGAGGCCAGTCCCACCACTGTGCTGAGGCCAGTCCCACCACTGTGCTGAGGCCAGCCCCACCACTGTGCTGAGGCCAACCCCACCACTGTGCTGAGGCCAGTCCCACCACTGTGCTGAGGCCAGCCCCACCACTGTGCTGAGGCCAACCCCACCACTGTGCTGAGGCCAGTCCCACCACCCCACCACTGTGCTGAGGCCAGTCCCACCACTGTGCTGAGGCCTGCCCCACCACTGTGCTGAGGCCAGTCCCACCACCCCACCACTGTGCTGAGGCCAGCCCCACCACTGTGCTGAGGCCAGTCCCACCACCCCACCACTGTGCTGAGGCCTGCCCCACCACTGTGCTGAGGCCAGTCCCACCACTGTGCTGAGGCCAGCCCCACCACCCCACCACTGTGCTGAGGCCTGCCCCACCACTGTGCTGAGGCCAGTCCCACCACTGTGCTGAGGCCAGCCCCATGGCAATGGTTCCATGCTTTCCACTACCAAAGTGCACATACAAATGTTAGTGGCTCTTTAAAAATTGGGAAATTTTGTAGATTGCAACTTTTGGCTTTTCCGTCTCAAAAGATTGCCGACCCCTGGGTTAGGCTAAAGGCAGGTTTTTTATTTGCACTAGAGCAATGGGTAGGTTTTTCATTTGCACTAGAGCAATGGGTAGGTTTTTCATTTGCACTAGAGCAATGGGCAGGTTTTTCATTTGCACTAGAGCAATGGGCAGGTTTTCCATCTGCACTAGAGCAATGGGCAGGTTTTTCATTTGCACTAGAGCAATGGGCAGGTTTTCCATCTGCACTAGAGCAATGGGCAGGTTTTTCATTTGCACTAGAGCAATGGGCAGGTTTTCCATCTGTACTAGAGCAATGGGCAGGTTTTCCATCTGTACTACTATTACAATGGATCTCAGAACAATTTGACCAGGCTCACAGCAAAAAAAAAAAAAAAAAAAAAGACTATTTTTTGCAATGTTTTTTGAACAGTGACAGTATATTCCCTTTACCCTGATACAGTTTTTCACCGGTTAAACCTGTTTACATTCACATTTGGACACAACGCATTTTGAGATTCTACACATCAAACCACATATTACATTCACACTGAGATTCTACACATTACATTCACACTGAGATTCTACACATTACATTCACACTGTGAGATTCTACACATTACATTCACACTGTGAGATTCTACACATTACATTCACACTGTGAGATTCTACACATTACATTCACATTTGAACTTTCCATGGCACAACATTTTTTATTTTTAAAATTTGCTAACTTAGTTTGAGATTATTTCTCCTTACGCAATACAATAGTTTATATAATGAATAGTTTGAATAATCAGCTTTTGAATCAGAACAACTAATCAATGGCTTACACTTCAAATCTCAGCCATTATAAAACTGCACAGGTACAGCTAGAGTAATCTGGTCAACATGTCAGGCCATCTGGTCAACATGTCAGGCCATCTGGTCAACATGTCAGGCCATCTGGTCAACATGTCAGGCCATCTGGTCAACATGTCAGGCCATCTGGTCAACATGTCAGGCCATCTGGTCAACATGTCAGGCCATCTGGTCAACATGTCTGGTCAACATGTCAGGCCATCTGGTCAACATGTCAGGCCATCTGGTCAACATGTCTGGTCAACATGTCAGGCCATCTGGTCAACATGTCAGGCCATCTGGTCAACATGTCTGGTCAACATGTCAGGCCATCTGGTCAACATGTCAGGCCATCTGGTCAACATGTCAGGCCATCTGGTCAACATGTCAGGCCATCTGGTCAACATGTCAGGCCATCTGGTCAACATGTCAGGCCATCTGGTCAACATGTCAGGCCATCTGGTCAACATGTCAGGCCATCTGGTCAAGACTTTGTAGAAAGCCTTGTAAACACAAGATACAAGCCAACATAGAATTACCTAGAGATGACTACCTACTAGACCTCTGATATTAAAAGTAACACTTTTTAAAGACAAGTATACATCGACTGATGCACTAGAGAAATTACTTCATCACTGGCCTTGCTGCCACACCCAATAAAAATACAAGTGTGTCCAGTATCTGTCAAAAAAAAGTTGACCACTAGATTTAAAAAAGAAATCCTGAATAAAGGACAACTCTTTCATCATTTGAAACAATAAAATAATGTTAACAGTATTTTCCCAAAAGGTACAACAAAACAACATGCCTACTTTATGTTAATCAAAATGACATGCCTACTTTTAAAACTTTTGGACTCAACTAAGTTCAACTTTGTTCATCAATGTGAATACTACCAAGTCCCTCTCTACATTAGAAAATGATGTACAGGGTATTTCAGCAGCACATTTAGAAGGCACATATTTTTTTATATTAAACCAACATTTAATACTACTCCTTCCACCATAGCAGCATTGTAAGGCACATCTTTTTTGTATAAACCAACATTTAATACTGCTCCTTCCACGCTGATAGCCAATTCAAACACACACTGGCCAACTTGTGAGGACACACACACACTGGCCATCTTGTGAGGACACACACACACTGGCCATCTTGTGAGGACACACACACACTGGCCATCTTGTGAGGACACACACACACACACTGGCCATCTTGTGAGGACACACACACTGGCCATCTTGTGAGGACACACACTGGCCAACTTGTGAGGACACACACACACACTGGCCATCTTGTGAGGACACACACACACACTGGCCATCTTGTGAGGACACACACACACTGGCCAACTTGTGAGGACACACACACACACTGGCCATCTTGTGAGGACACACACTGGCCATCTTGTGAGGACACACACACACACACTGGCCATCTTGTGAGGACAAACACTGGCCATCTTGTGAGGACACACACTGGCCAACTTGTGAGGACACACACACTGGCCAACTTGTGAGGACACACACACACACTGGCCATCTTGTGAGGACACATGCACACACTGGCCATCTTGTGAGGACACACACACACACTGGCCATCTTGTGAGGACACAAACACACACACTGGCCATCTTGTGAGGACACACACACACACACTGGCCATCTTGTGAGGACACACACACACTGGCCATCTTGTGAGGACACACACACACACTGGCCAACTTGTGAGGACACACACACACTGGCCATCTTGTGAGGACACACACTGGCCATCTTGTGAGGACACACACACACACACTGGCCAACTTGTGAGGACACACACACACACTGGCCATCTTGTGAGGACACACTGGCCATCTTGTGAGGACACACTGGCCATCTTGTGAGGAAACACACACTGGCCATCTTGTGAGGACACACACTGGCCATCTTGTGAGGACACACACACACTGGCCATCTTGTGAGGACACACGCTGGCCATCTTGTGAGGACACACACTGGCCATCTTGTGAGGACACACACACACACGCTGGCCATCTTGTGAGGACACACACACTGGCCATCTTGTGAGGACACACACACTGGCCATCTTGTGAGGACACACACACACTGGCCATCTTGTGAGGACACACACACACTGGCCATCTTGTGAGGACACACACACACTGGCCATCTTGTGAGGACACACACACACACTGGCCATCTTGTGAGGACACACACTGGCCATCTTGTGAGGACACACACACACACTGGCCATCTTGTGAGGACACACACACACACTGGCCAACTTGTGAGGACACACACTGGCCATCTTGTGAGGACACACACACACACTGGCCATCTTGTGAGGACACACACACACACAGGCCATCTTGTGAGGACACACACACACACACACTGGCCATCTTGTGAGGACACACACACTGGCCATCTTGTGAGGACACACACACACACGGGCCATCTTGTGAGGACACACACACACACACTTGTCCTCCTACAAATCTAAGATCTCTGATTGGTCAGCTAGACTGGTTAAAGCTGCAGGGCTTTGGGTTGGGTTCACCATATCATCTTCATCTGGCACATTATCAAACCTGAAAAAAGTCAAACTAATTCAGCAAGCAAAAATAATTTTTAGCAGCTTGTCCAAACTGGAATCAAGAAATTTGTTTCAGTTACTGATACTTGGCAATACAACAAGTCTCACTTGACTTGATTCAAATACATCGTTGGTTTAAAACTGCTGGTTTCAAATCAACATAAATTATTTCTACTTCCACTGTTATCTTAAAGATCTTGTTGCCAGCTACATTTTCAATGTTATGCATAAATAAATGTACTATACATAATTGAGGTAGAAAAGT